ACAACATGTCAAATAAATCTTTTGAACATTCTTTCTTCAGTGTTGGGACCTTTACAATCAACATACCACTCTACTTTTATTTTCAATCCTTGCATTCATCCGTCGAGTGCTTCTTTTTTGTAATCGTCTTCAGCTGGTCGTTCGCAGATGCTTGAATTTCTGAAATATCGAATCTTTGAACTTTCAATTTCAGGCAACAGTCAGAAATAGCCAGAAATAGCCAGAAAGAAATGATAGAGTGGGATGGATAATATAGAGTTACGATACTTTTTGAGTTATACGATATTCCAGAAGTCCATGTTGTAATCAATTAAAAATGATTGCAAAAGAAATACTCAACAACGATACGAAGATTGAAAAAGAAAGCAGAGTGATATTAATTATAGTAAAAGATTCTATTAATTAGCAAAATGTTGAAAGTATTTTTTTGACGTATTCTATATTTTATGATTTTTGTTTCAAAACTGGACTGCATAATTACAAGAAAATTAAAAAAAAAGTTAACTTTACAAACATTTCTATCTTACGAAGTAAGTAATTATATTTTTCAGAATTATCTTTGCATTCAATTATTCGATATGAATAATCGAATTATTTTATTCGTATCGAATATCCGGAAAATATGATTTCAGGCAAATATGATCAGCTGGATATCTGTCAGTCGATTTGTGATGAAAAAAATTATGGGGCTTCTTCTGAAGTGAAGAATCATCATGAAGAACTTTTATCGCGGCGCCACACGAATTATTAATTTGCGAACGACAGATCAGATTTAATACTGATTTAATCGATACCGAAGCGACTCCTGTAATCGAAAGACGATTTATAGCAAACCAGTTTGACTACTCTTACTCGGCCTTACGTATTCCTCTCTTCAACCATCAGTGGCTGATGTTAACGACGCGCGTTTTCGGTGTAACGACGATACGATCATTGTAGCGCCGTTACAAATTTGCTCGAACACTTTGCACGAGCGTGACTTATCGGATCAATGATCAATGTAACTGATATTGTGATGTAACACTAATCGGATTCCATTAGGTTTTTTTTTTTTAGAGAGGACTGTCGAAAAAATTAATACCCAAGGTTATAGGAAGTATAATAAAAAATGTAAATATAAAGATAAGTAAATAATAAACATAAAAAAAAACGATGAGTAAGGTTTATAAGAATCCTGATGCGACTGGCTAGAAAAATGTAGAAAAGGAACATTATTTATAGATTTCTGTTTCAGTAACCGCGTTGTGTGTAGATATCTTCTTATTATAGGTTCTTATAATACACTTGTTCTTTGTTTATAGTTTAGTCTTATATATTCTGCTGTATGACTCCTACATTCTTATCTCGCTCCTTGTGTGTGTGTGTGTATCGCGATTCTAAGTCAAAGTTCTTTAATCGACATCTATCTAATCGATCGTTGATGGCACCTGGTCGACCTAGTGGTACAGTTAGACGAGTGGGAGTGGGTATTAAACGTCGCGGCTACGAGAGAGGATCGAGGTTAACGATAAGTCCTCTCCTCTCTTTCTTTCTCTCTTTCTCTCTCCTGTCGTGGATGGATGAACTTCCTCCTAAGGGAAGAGAGAATCGACGTGACGTCGAGAATGGATTATCGATCCGAATGACATCTGGAGAAAATGTATTCGCGGTGGTACCCTGCGTGATTTATGAATCCGAATTCCGCCAGCGAAGGGAATTAAGAATACGAAAATATAGGGAAAATACCGGTACGATCGTATTTCACGCCCAAAGTAGCCGCAGTTGGAAATTTACTCGACATAATTCCGTTCTACTGAAACAAAAAATTGATTTGAAAAGAAGTTATTCCGATGAATACTAATTGCTCGAACGATTAATTATTCCTTACTGGCGTGAAGTTCTCGAGCTTTTATTTGACAAAATAATATACTGCGTCACCAGCGGGCATTATGGTCCTTTCTTAATCACATTAGGGTGATACGTTCCCCTGAGAGGTCGAGCAAAGCAGACTGGTGTAAATTGTTTCCACAAAATTGCGACATGACACCGTTTCGCCGTCGCTAATTCACCGAGAAGTTATGCTAGCCATCGCGTTTTAACTCCCCCGACTCATCGTGCTCCTCTCGGTACCGACCCACTTCTCTCGTTATCGTAGCGACCTATCGTCGAAGAATCACCGATAAAAATTGGTCCGCGTACGTCTGTCAAAAGATCGTCAAAGACATCGTGCTGTTCTTCGTCGTCACGCACAACACTGCACTGAGAGAAATGATTTTGTTATAGGAACAAATCAAAGGAAAACAAATGTGATATTTGTTAAAAAGCCGATCGATTTGTAAATACGATTGCAAATTAACAAATAATCAATAGCATCGCTAGCAAATAAGAGGCTCATATCCATATATAAAAATCGTAGATGATCGCAGGATCTCAAGTCGTAAGAAATTGACCAATTCTAGTCAAGTATTCTCTACATTTGACTGTGCTTGATCGGTTTCCTACGACTCTACGAATTCTATATAAACGAGCCTAAAGTTTATCCAAAAGATAGGCTAGATTTTATATAGTAGTTTGCTTCTGTTAATAATTGGTTGGTACAGCAGACTAGCAGACACAACAAAATTTGTTGTCACATATTTATCGATCACCGATTAAGGATACTGGTGGTGGCTTGTTAAATTAACAAAATCCTTTCTCTCGTATCGCACTACGTATTGAAGATTGAGAATTGCAAAATGAACATTAGAATTCGGAACGGATTAGACCGAAATGGATTAAAATTAAAATTGTGACTGACTAGTCGAATTCCAATCCTTCTCTAATTCGCAATCCTCAATTCTCCATGACAGTGTGACATGGGTTTTACACATGGACATCTGTGGAACCACATACAGTACCTTCAAAATGAATCAAAACAGTCCCTGCACATGAAGCGGAGTGTCACATGCATTTTTCTCTACCCTCCGTTTAATTTCAACCAGGCTTTAATAATAAACTTTTGACCTAAACCCTCTGGCTGCATAAAAGATCCGCGCGAACATAATTTTGGATTTTCACGGTGGTGAAAGAGAGAAAAAAATAGCTGTTAACGAGATGGATCGGCTCTACGAGTTTGACCGAGCTTATATTGATCGTGATCTCCGCTTTGTAAAGATTTTGCATAAAGGAAAGGCAGGATCTCCATTTGATAGCGAACGCGCGATGGGAAAATCGGACCCAGGTAAACACGTATGATAGAGGGTGGCGGGCATAGTGGAGGCGAAGAAAGCATATATCGTGCACATCGTTGAAAGAGCTCGATGTAGGAGAATCTCCTTCTCGTGTGTGTATAATGGAGGCTCGAAAAACGAGGCGAAGCGAGGTGAAGAGAGCTGACCTACTGTGGCAAGTGGCTCAGGGCCGTCGCTGTCCAAATCGTCCCCCCGATCGCCCCCCACCGAGCATTCTCTCTTCATCCGGTACCATGCGGTAGTATTCAGGTCTGTTCCTCTCTCTCTCTCTCTCTCTCTCTCTCTCTCTCTCTCACGGATGTAATGCCCTCGTAGCCACTTTGTCCTCCTCCTTCGACCTCCCGCTTCTTTTCCCTTTACCCTTTTCTATAGCGTGTAAGCCAGGATTCTCTCTAACATTCGCGATCAGCTAAATGGACCGTAACGCCTGAACGATAATACCAGTGGTCTATCGTGACGTCGCCCAGCGCGATAATAGCGTATCGATTTTGGAACGATTAGAGGCGTACGGTCTATGTTAGTGCGAGGGTGAAAGCTTCGATAATTGGGAATGGTGATCGAAGCTATGGAAAGACCGATTTAAATACATGGTGGTTCTCTACTTGAGAATGCTTTCTAATCGATTCCACAACTACCGTCCAAATAGAGTCATCGCTCGAGATACGGCATTGTAAATGAGCAGCGGCGTGTTATTTGCTTGCTTTGATATCCGCTTCCGCTTTAATTATTCCGATTGTATGCACGAATGAGTGCGTGGAAGAAATAACGCAGAGCCTCTATCTCAGATGTGAGAAAATTAACTCTCCAAGCTATATCCCGCTCGATCTATGTACACCTTCGGCTGATTGTAATCTGATTCCTTTCCTCGAGATTACGATTTAAGTAATTTATGTGTTCGCATTCACTACGACGCACGAAAGTTTCGAAAAGTAGCATTTTAACTTCTTTGGAATTATCAAATTAAATCCGCGATACGCAGAACTAATGCGATTCATTTGGTCTAACATGGTATATATCATTTGTTGGCGAGGTCTGATATCTCGACGGGATTCGTGATCGCCTCTCCTGTGCGTTTTTGCACTCGGTAAACTCAACGTAAACGCCCACCCGAGGAGGAAAGTGAATCACAGGCGGCCGCATCGAGTGAAAATCATCTAGTGAAAATGTGAAGGCCGGGTAGAGTGGCGATTTGAAAGTTCTGCCGTAGCTTCCAGCTACAAGTCGATTTTCACTTCGCCGTCGCCGTCGTGGATGTATACCCTCGTGAAACGCTCGGTAAAAGGTCGACTATCGCGGATTATTGTACGAGATCCTAGGCTTTTACAAATACAAGTATAAGCGCACCTAATGCACCAACGAATGCAGCGAATCGCTCCGACAAGATATGCACGTCCGTCCCGACCAATATTTCGTTACTAAATATAGAAGTATGCGCATATTTTCCATTTATTGTTGGAAAGTCTTGGAGAATCTTAGATATTTAAATTATTTATTTATTTATATTTTAATTTAATTTTTATACGTATTTATATTTTTTATAAATTACATAAATTATTTCAAGATCAATATTCAATTATTTCAAATCTGTCTTTTTTTTTTTTACAAAACCTATGTATTGTATTTGATTTATAATTTTATAATTTATATTTATTAACTTGATATAATTGTAAAAGTCGCGGAATTTACAACATGTGAATCTTATCTCATCGATTTTCTGTTACATAAGTAGTTTACTTACAATTAGATGTATAAATAGCTTACTGAGATATCTTCTTTGACTTTTGATTTCAGGTGTTCTTCGTGTATGTACCTTTTAAATGATATCGCCAAGGTGAAGCAAACTATGCCAACAAGTAAGTAAATGCATGTATATTATGTCTTTTAACAAATGCAGATTGTCTTTACCTTATCGCTTCCATATGGAATGACGACATTCCGTTTCTTCCTTTTCGTCCTCGTCGTCTTGCCAAGTCAAGAGGAACCAACGCGATTCTAAACATTGATATTCAGCAGACTGTCCCAATTGCGTCCTTTAATTAGCATCTGCTTTAATCTTCAGATTATCGGACGATAAAACGGTTCATGTTGAAACGCAATGTTATTTTCGTAATGAAACGAGTAAAATAATTATCATTTATTAGTAACTAACGTTTATTAGAAATTATTAAATGTTATAAATTTTGCTCTCAGCAATAAATATTGACATTAACGAAACTAAAGTTGTTTCGAAGGGCAAAATTCAATTTTAAATTGAGTTTTTATATCAGAAGTGCTTCAGACTTCGACCTAATTTGTTCGTAACGTTATTTACGTCATCCCTCGATTAAAGTGAGACATCTCCTGCTGACTTATCGCCGACGCCTCTTCCGCATACTTTATCGTAACTCCGCGTGCGAATCCGTCGTATTATTTCTTTATCAGAACGTTCATTTCTGCGTGATGAGTTGCGAATGCTTTATAGGCGAGCACGTAGCGCGAGCGAGACAAAGCGACGACGAGGACAAGGAAGAAGAAGATGCGGCAATTTGTACCGTTGCACGTAGAGACAACGATATTTCGCAGCTATTGTGAATACGCTCGGACGTGACATCATTCGTCCTCGCGATTACATAAAGATATCAGCGTCGTTACTCGCTAACATGGATCCTTACGCGATTCCTTCGTTGTGCGCGTGCATTTAACGCGAGGTGCGCATTTAACGTTCCTGTGTAATCGCGTTGTCTCCACATTTAATGGGCTGCACGAGTGCAACGAGTGGTCGTTGCTGATGATGATTAAAGAAAAAAGAAGGAAGGAAAGATATCCATAGCATTGTGTCTCGGAAGCATCGAGAAACGGGTAAATTGCATGTGTTTAAAATTGATAAAATAGTGATCCCGTTGAAGGTTAATGTTCAGCTTAAGATTCCCTTAAGGAAATGCTGGAGTAACCTAATTATCGATATTACTGTTATAAATCTCCAAATTGACTGAACGGAATAAAAAATCCTTTTACGGGATTATGGTAGACGCAAAATTATAGAAAATAGTGCAGTGGACTTTATATTAAAATCGAAAAAAAAATTAAGTAAGTTTTTAATAATTTTTTTTTTCAATTTAATCGCTGCAATAAATGATGGTTTGTACTAATGTTTAGCAGAGAAAGCAGCTTTGCAATTGATATATTAGGAATAATATAATAATAAAAAATAAATTTAAAGGCTAATGAGACTCAACGGAAGAAGTTGCACACAGTTATCGATAAGTAAAAATTACTTCTTGATAACATTGATGTCTTCTTTATTTCAAAATCTTGAACGTTTCGACTCGCTTTGTAGTCCTCAGCAATATAATAATTAAATTCTGTTTAATTTGGTCTAAAATGTTAAGCGGTCCGTTCAGAATAAATCACTCTCAGATTCCCAGAACTCGATTCTCGAACGGAGCACTCAACATATTCAGAAGCTTTGGAAAATTTGGATTTCCTTATGCGATAATTCACTTTAATTTAATAATGACACGTGTCACGAACATTTATAACGAAGACAATTTCAATACGTCCGTGTGGTTTTGTGTGTCATATACATGATATATTAGGAGTGTGATTTATAGTTTTGAGGATTTTTTTTCTCAAGAACTTATTTATTTAAACAATATATCACGTAAATAACTGTCGATCAACATTTTATTTTCTAGCAAATTCTGAAGTGGATTTTTGTCCAATAATGCTTGCAAATCTGCGTTTTCCGTTAATTTGCTTTTATTGTTAACATAGAAATCATTTGAATCGACAGAACCAATAATGTCAATCACGTGTTTTAAATTGATGGAGCAACATCACTATAAATTTCTATCAGAATTTTATGCTCTTCAGCCGTCATTTTCTTTTGATTAAAAAACAAAAGCAATGCATGAAAATGCTCTTTAGAAAGCTCCATTTTTAAAATGGTATAAACACAATGTTTACTGCGTCCATTGTTAATAAATGACTAAATATGGAGTAATATTGAAGCATTAAGAAATAATAGCTATCATTGGAATGTCTTCGACAATACTGATATTAGTGTCATCTTTTGCAAAATCCTTAAAATTAAATCACATTCCTAACGAAATTCTTTAATATAATTGATTTAGACTCTTAGTTCCTCTTTGGATCTAAATATATAAACCAATTATATATTTAAGAATTTTACAATTGTAAAGCTGCTTTCGTTGAAGTTGTGCTAAACACAGTCAATGTAAAATCGATTCTATAATTGCGTAAGCATAGTTGTAATTATAAGAATTGAACTAACCGCAGTCGAATGTTCTTCTCATATTCGATTATGATTGGTCAATTCTTACAATTACACACACTTACTCAATTGTAGAATTAAGATTGAAGAGTGCGCGCACATGTGTATATGTGTGTGTGTGTGTGTGTGTGTGTGTGTGTGTGTGTATCTGTGTGTATGTATGTGTTTTTGCTGATTTGTCGTACTACGTAATGTTTATGTTATAAGTAAACGTAATGCCAACTTGGCTCGATACAGCACGACACAAGGTCGCCACGCTATCATTCGCGAGGTGAGATATTGTTACTTAAGCAGATATTACAGGCAACTCCTATGTAGTGATATTTTTCGAAATGCTACGCGAAAATACCAAAAAGAATTATAATTGTTGTCTACGAACAATTGTCAAGTTTGCTTAAAATAGATTTATTTATGCATTTTTTGACAATCCTTAATTCTTATCAAGTGAGCTATCAATTAAAGTTAATATTTCACGCGATGTATCTATCTTGTAACGTAGGAAATGGCAGAGAATTAAAATTCTGTATTTTACTCTTTTATAATTTATGTGCTATTATTATCTCTAATAATATTTAATTTTAAATGTGTCTTACATCTTTGAATTCTTCGTTAAATTTTAATGTGCTTATCAGTTTCCAATTGAGTGCGCGATAATGTTAAATGGAACGCCAAATTAAATAATTGGAGTAAAAGAACATTTTAATATTTCGCGCGCTTTATTTAATAATTAATGGGTATTGGAAAACGGAGAATATTCAATATATGTTTAAAGAGAGACAGATCAAATTGAAGGCGAAATTTGCGAATTTATTTCAAGGAAAGGTGTAAGGAGAGATTTTTATATCAGTCCAATAATTTAAAACTTCGTATTTGCCACAACAAGTTTTGCTGACAACGAATTTGAAGTCAGATTTTTAAACTACATTGACTACATGAAGATCATCGATGATTATCAGTAAGTTTATCATTGTATCATGAGGTTCCCATGTGTTCTTCAACAGTTGTATATTAGTGTTTTCTATTGACGTGGCTTGTATATAAAAGTTAAGTTACGTAGTATGACACATTAGAAATTCTTGTGCATCTGATTTTGATCTGAGCTATGCTGCCATGTGAACGTGATTTTTTAAATTAATTTTATTATGTCATAAAATTTTTATTGTGATCCCTAGATAATCACTTTTATTTTATATGACGCCAGTTATTGTATTAAAATTCAAAATAGCCGATTTAAATATGCTGGATATATTTTAAGAAATGTTTTAATTTTTATGAAAACATTTTATAATTTATTCTTGGATCGCTGATTATAAATCTGAGGTCAGATCTTTAGAAAAAAATGTCTGACCCAATATAATGATCGAAAATTAAAACAATCATTTTTATGAAGTTCAGTACTCGGTCTATTAAAGTTGGCCAACCAAATAATTTTTATAAAAAAATTGAAGTTTTTAATCAGTATTTCATTATACACAAAAAATGTTTAAAACGATATAAAATACTGTTTTAAATATTGGATTTATATTGAGATATGCTGATTAAAAATTTTAATTCGGATTATAATATAAATGATTGAATATCATCGACCACGTATTTAAATTACATTAACCTTTCAATTTTGTTATATAAAAATTGAACATATTGGTCAGCCATTTCTTTCTGAAGCCACTTTTTTTACTTTATATTTATAATAATTAGCGATCTAAGAAAGCAAATCGCAATAAAATATTTTTCATAGAAATTAAAATATTTTAAAAATATATAGATAATTCATCATATTAAATCAGTCATCAAATCATATTGAAATTCTGACTTCAAATTTGTTGTCAGCAGTCAGCAAAATCTCCGGATACAAAATTTTGAATTATTGGACTGACATAAAAATTTTTGCTTCAAAAAATATGAGCTAACGTTTTAATGAATTTCCATATATTTCTTAAACCAATTGAGCCTCAATTTGAAATTTTTTTGTGATTCATCTTATTTTAAGATTGGTACACAATCTGAAAATTGCGGAATCAAAAAAGAGACTAAAAAAATCATGGATTTTGTGATCATTCTTTAAATTGAAACGAACTTTCCAAACAGCCTAATATATCTTAAATAATTCTATACATATCTTAATAATTCTAAATAAAATTAACAAATATTTGATTAGAATACGAGAGAGAGAGAGAGAGAGAGAGAATTGCATAAGGCTTTCGACGAAACTTCGGTAACGCATGATATTTGAAATCGACTATTGGCATAGCTCACGTACTCGCTCAATCGCGTCAGCGTCGTTCTCGTCGTCGAGGAGGCTAACTGTTTGATTAGATTAGCGTGTGCAAATAATGACGGCGGCGCGGCGACGGCGGTGATCCGACCTCGACCGATCGTGGATTGTTAGGCTTTGTCGAAAACCTCCGGAAAGTACAACGGAAAAGAAAGCCGCAACCGTTTCCGGGATCGGTGAAGCGGCACAATGGGCGAGGGCGAGCACGTAGCCGCGGTATAGCGACCATCGAAATGGTTATTTTCGACGGTGAGGCCGTCTAGGACGTGGTAAAACGAGCACTCGAGGACATCCTGTGTGTATAG